AACTACACGCTTATTTTGGCTTCCCTCCCCCTTTCTCTACTTGTATTTCTTCTTCGATCTCTTCTCGTTTGCTCTCATACTGTAGCAAAAATTATTGTAAATTATGCAAAAAAAATCAGTGGGATGAAAAGGCAAGGTTGATATCACATCAGAAAAAATCAGAAGCAAAAACTAAGAGAGTTCAACTTTATTTTTTCTTCTTTTTTTTGGTTGGATATTATGGGTGGGTGTGATTGAAATTGGTTGAAAATACCTAAACGATGCTATATACAAAATTTGAGCAAGATTAGCAAGAACTAAGAGAGCAAAAATATATTTAGACTAGTTTCAGGTAAAAAATCAGACCTAAAAGTCCAACTACGACATGTGTATATCACGTTGTATATCGTGTACATCAGTGTATATTGCACACAAGTTTTTAAGGACGTTTGTGTATATCGTGTATACAACACAATGGACGCCAGTGTATATCACATTGTCTATCGTATATATAACACGAATTTTCAAGGATATACACAGATACACATAATATACATGAGATATCACTGATGTACATAGAGATATACACGGATTACAATAGGGAATACACATGTGGAGTCGTCTTGAACTTGAGTTTTCAATCTGAAATGTGTTATGCAAAGAAGGAAAATAAAATTTTAATAATTTTTTTTGATATACACATTACTATTAAGTTATAAATATACAAATAATATAATTATTAATTATTGATAAAAAAGGAAAATAAATTTTTGATATAGTGTGTTTAAGCGAGTTCTAAAAAATAAAAATAAAAAATTTAATTGTGGGAGTAAATAATATTTTGGTATACAAAGAAAATTAATTTTTGATATACACAAGGAAGAAAAATAAACTTATGATATCTATTTTGGTATACACATGTCCGATGTGCTATCCACTGTGATATACAAATATATAATATTTTTATTATGATATACATTGATATATGCAGCAATAACTATATATATAATTTTAAATTATTGATGTACAAAGAATAATATTATTTATATACAAAGAATGAAAATAAAATTTTAATATACATGTTGATATAGACAAAGAAGAAGAAAAAATTTGTGATATACATATTATTATTGTGATATACATTTATTGACTATTTGATGCCAATATCTATAACTAGCGCTATTTTCTGCCAATTATATGGGTATGTTGTCATATCATGCGCCCTAATAGTAGTAACCCAACTAATTGATCCTCAACTTACTATTTTAAGGTTTAAGCTAAATTATCCAACAGGTTACTTACTATCCAGGTTAGAAACTAACAACAAAAATAATGGATAGAACGAAGAATATATTTTGATCCAAGACTTTCATGAAGTGTCTATTGAATACCTTTGTTTTATCCATTTTGACCGTCGTAATATTAACAGAATCCAAATATTTGATACACTACCGATAAAACAACTAACGTTTTTTTTACACCAAATATATTTATAGTAAAGAAAAGTGATTGACTGGATACTGCTATACTTGGGCCTCATAGAAGACTGGATACTGCTGAATTTATTTGGAGTGTTTGTGGCTCCGCAGACAACAACAACAACAGCAACAAAAAAACCAGTGTAATCCTCCAAGTGTGGTCTAGAGAAGGTAATGTGTACGTACTTACCTACCTTGTGAAGGTAGAGATGCTGTTTCCGATAGACCCTCGGCCAAAGAAACACTAAACAAGAAGCGAGCAACAGTAACAACACAAGAAAAAAAAAAAGACACTATGTCTAACAAAGATCTAAAATAAGAAATATAAGAATACTACTAAAAATACTGGTAAGAATGACACAATATGGAATAACAAAGGAACACAAAAATGTAAGAATAATACTAATACCAATACTACTGGTACGATTAGGAGAAACTCTCGACTACCTATCAACCAAGAATCCTAATTTTCGACCTCCACACCTTACTATCGAGGTCATGTCATCGGTAAGCTGAAACAATGACATGTCCTGCCCAATCACCTCTCCCTATACTTCTTTGGCCTACCTCTACCCTTCCTCAGACCCGCCATGGTTAACCTCACACACCTCCTGACCGGAGCATCGATATATCTCCTCATCACGTGCACGAACCATCTCAGCCTCGATTCCCGCAATTTGTCTTCCGCAGGGGCCACTCCCACCTTGTTTCCAATAACTTCATTCATAATCTTATCTTTCCTGGTATGCCCACACATCCACCTCAACATCCTCATTTCGGCTACTCTCGTCTTCTAGACATGAGATTTCTTCTACAGACGGATCTAGGATTTTAATTCTATGGGTTCAACAATTTAATGTTTTTAGCATTGAATCTTTTATATTTTAAAATTATGGGTTCATATCTACTATTTATTATAATTTTAGTAATTTTTACACATAAATTTATGCTTCGCGCCGAAAATACTAGATTCAGTTGAATGCGATAACTCTATGTTGCATTTGCCCCTGCTGCCAAGGCATAAATTTATATTATGGGTGGCCAACCAATGTAGGCTACTTACCGAAGAAAGACTTCTCAAGTTGCAAATACAACTTGGAGAGGTACATCAAACACTAGAAGAATAAAAAGGAAACATTGGCCTCCATTTAAGAAGGAAGTGATAGCAACTATTTGGGGTATTGTGCAGTGGTGGAGGCAGGATTTCTACGAAGGGGTTTAAAAAAAAACAAAAAACAAATTGTAGTTAGTAGGAATTGAACCTATGATCTTAGAAAGGTTTTGAACCTTTTGACCACTAAGCTACACTTTCAAGCTATGTTAAGAAGGTTCAAAACTTAATATATAGAGGTAAAAAAAAACAAATTTTGCCTTATCTATACAGTGTAATTTTTCGGCGAAGGAACCCCTTCCGCCCCCTAAATCCGCCCTGGTGTTGTGGCATATCATACATGGAAACTCAGGAATTAGAAGGTGTTTAAGGGAGTAACCGTACATAATGAGGTGGTGTTTGCGCAGATAAAACAGGAAATTGTAGAAAGAATTTCTATACTTAAGCTGTCTAAGAAAAACTAGCATATGTAGAAGTTTTTTGTAATCATTAATGTGTAATTAGTATGTTCTCGTGAGGCTTAACTCCCATCTCACTCTTTCTGGAAGGTGGCAGTGGAATCAGAGGCGGATTTAAGATTTAAAATTTATGAGTTCGACTTCAAGTAAATTTAACAAAAGCTATTGGGTTCATGTGAACCTGTATGTCCTACTCTAGATCCGCCCCTAAGTGAAATTAGGTGATCCATAGGTGTTGTTTTATCTATTATAATGGAAATATTCACAATTATTACCAAAATAAATACAAAACAAAAGTGATTGATATTTTGAAATTTTACGTTACACTAAATACAGACGAATTCCGGGATATAATTAGAGAAGAAATAGTGTATATTTGAACCGTTACATACTACTACAAATTAACAATATCATTTTTTTAATATTATCAATGCAATTTAATATATTATAGCATATGTTTAAAAAAAAAACATAGCAGATTGCCGATTTATTTTCTAGTTAAACCAAAAGTTATTTTTTCAGTGACCTGATAGGATAAGAATTCTTTCACAAGTGTTTAGAAGTTAAACCGAATTCGAATAGATAAGATAAAGTCTTTTTGAATTAGATTTAGTTTTATCCGATCACACATCAACATTAATCACTCCTATAAATATATGAGATCCTTCCTTTATTCTTCGTTCTCTTAATTCCCCTTCATATTACTCAAGAAAACACCATGACAAAACTAGCCACATTCTTTATTTTACTTTTCTCTTTTGCAACTTTGTGTCATTCTTTTCCTCTATCAACAAGCTCTAGATGGATAGTAGATGACGAAACTGGCCAAAGAGTGAAATTAGTTTGTGGAAATTGGGCTGCCCATTTGCAAACTATGTTACCAGAAGGCCTTGATCAGCAGCCCGTTAGCCACATTGCTAGGCATATATCATTAATGGGCTTTAATTGTGTCCGTTTAACATGGGCTACGTACATGTTTACTCGCCATTCAAATCTTACTGTGGCCCAATCTTTTATTAATAATGGGCTTAATGATGCTATGAAGGGTTTGAGCCAGAATAATCCACAACTTTTGGGCCTTACTGTTGTTGAGGCCCAAAAGGCTGTGATTGAGGAGTTGGGCCGACATGGTGTTATGTCTGTTCTTGATAATCAAGTTGGTGAGCCCATGTGGTGTTGTGGGAGTAATGATGGAAATGGTTTTTGGGGAGATAAGTATTTTGAGCCTAAAGAATGGTTAAAGGGCTTGGATATTGTTGCTAGGAGATACAAAGATTTACCAATGGTATGTACAACTCACATTTATTTTTGTTCGTGTTTATTATTATTTGGGTTCTTTACACAAATAGCCTGCCATATTCATTATTTACTTTTTCTAACCATATAGATAGATTATACATAGAGTATACACAGCTATACACATAATACATAAATTAGGCATATATACATATATAGCCGGCCATATTCATTGTTTGCTTTTTCTAGTTTCATAGATTATACATTGATTTAGGGGCGGACATGGGTGCTGAATTATTACTTATCTGAAAATTACTCTTAAGACTGGATGCTCAAGTAATATATTTGTAAGGATTACTAACTTTTTTATATAAATAATAGTTCAAGACTCCAAAAGTAATGGGTGCTTGAGCATCCATAACATTAACATATATCTGTCACTGCATTTATGATACACAACTATCCACATATAATACATAAATTATGCATATCTTATACACCGCTGGCTATTTTTGGTTTAAGCAGATGGGTGGGCAGCTATTTGGGTTAATTCTTCTTATTATTTTAAAAAATTAAAATATTTTAAGAAATAAAAAATATAAAGAGTTGAAGGCATATCCTAGAAATAAGCTATTGTTCAATTTGTTTGCTGTGCTCCTCTATAGAAACTATTATTTGCATTATTCCTTAAAATTGTTATTGATTTTTATTTAATAATTTCATATAGGTTATCGGCATCAGTCTACGTAACGAGCTACGTGGTCCTCTACAAAACCAAAGTGTATGGTACGAGTATGTTCAAAAGGGTGCAAAAATAATTCATAGGGCTAACCCTAATCTTCTATTAATTATCTCGGGATTAGATTATGATCTTGATTTTACCTTCTTAAAGGAAAAACCCTTGAACTTACACATGAGAAACAAGATTGTATACGAGACTCATAGGTATTCATTTACTGAGGGACAATCAAATTTGTATTTAACTCAGCCACTAAACAAAGTTTGTGATACAATTAAAGAAGAAATTATGAATAAATCAGGGTTTTTAATTAAGGGGAAAAATGCAGCTCCTTTATTTGTTAGTGAATTTGGTATTGACCAAAGGGGAACGAATGAGGCCGACAATTTGTTCTTGGGCTGTTTTCTTTCACTTTTAGCAGAATTGGATTTGGATTGGGCCGTTTGGGCTTTACAAGGTAATTATTATACAAGAGAAGGTCAACAAGGAATGGAGGAAATGTATGGGATGTTCAATTCTACATGGAAAACTCTTAGAAATCCTGAATATCATGCAAAATTACAACTTATTCAACAAAAACTCCAAGGTAAAATTATTCTTTCTTTTTCTTTTTTCCCTCCCTGGTGGTTATTGTTGTGTCCATACTTCTCTTTTACTTTTCATAGCACCGAGCCTTTCTTAATTGTTATTGTTTTTCATCTATTTTCTGGTACTTTTGATTCTGTTATTATTTCTATGCCTTCTGTTGTTGGTACTGATATATTGTCTTTTTCCTCTGCTTGAGTCGAGGGTTTATCAGAAACAGCCTCTCTACCCCTTGGGGTAGGGGTAGTGTCTGCGTACACTCTACCCTCCCTAGACCCTGCTTGTGAGATTTTATTGGATTGTTGTTGTTGTTGTTCTTTTTCCCCCTCCTTTTGGTATGAGATAATTGTTTGGAATTGAATTCTATCAAGGTGTTTGCTAATAGATTTGACGATTTATACTGTCAGTGTATTTTAACTTATTGAAACAGCTAATCTGTCTTATTACATGGAATTTAACTTGTTTATATTGATTTAACTTCTTTATATTGGTATGAGATAATTGTTTGGAATTGAAATCTAACAAGGTGTCTGCAAATGGTTTTGACATTAGTGTAATAAATTTTATACTGTCATAGTTTTTTAACTTATTGTAACAACTAATCTGTCTTATTTTTTGGAGTTTAATTTGCTTATACTAACTTATCTTCTATACAATTGATAGTTTAAAGGAATTTAGTATACTACATACACTATACAATTGATAGTTTATAGAATTTGTATACTACATACACTCATAATCTGAAGAAATTTATACTATTAGTTTATTTAATTTGTTATCGTAGGTATGCCTTACTTTTTAGTATTTAAACTTTTATATATTGTTAGTTAAAAAGAATTTTAACAATATTATTCAAAAAGATACATACAAGTAACCGTCCATTAAAAAGGAACATAAAAAATAAGAAAAGCTACATGCTACGACACGTTAAAGATAGGTTCAATTTTAAAGTTTGTTATTTGTTACTATTCTTAAACGAGCTGATAGCATAAAAATTCTTTTTTACGTTTATATAGAAGTTAAACTTGCATATTTACTCGAGTGCATTGTTACTTTCATTATATTAACTCCTAATATGCTATAGATCCAAAATCAAAACAACCAATGTACCACTTATTATTCCATCCACAAAGTGGCAAATGCTTGCATGCTGCAGACAACAATGTAGAAGTATATGCAAGTGATTGCATCGGAGCAAGCCGGTGGAGCTACGACGGCGACGACACGCCGATCCGATTAACCGGAACTTCTCTCTGTCTCACTACATCAAGAGAAGGTTTGCCTGTAACTCTTTCAACAGACTGCAGTGAACAAAGTACATGGAAATTGGCTTCAAATTATCAACTTTCAAATCATGATGAAAATGGGACAGAGTTGTGTTTGGATTTTGATACTTATTATTCTTCTTCTAAAGTTTTGGTTAGGAAATGCATTGGCTTAGATGAGAAGAGTCATGATAATCCTCAAAGTCAATGGTTCAAGTTTGTTTCAGCCAATGTTTAGTAGAGTTCTTAGTTATTTCAATGTTTAGCTATAATTTTACATTTTAGTTTAAGTCTTTATTTAACTCTTAATTTCAATCCTTTGTTTGGAATATTTTTTAATAAGTTATATTCCGTTTAGAAGACATGAAATTGGAAAGAGGGTATCTTGTTTAATTGATCTTATATTATGTTACACTGTGATATTTTATATCCTTGAATAGTCCCATTTTAAAACTATTAAAATTATTAACCACTAACATTCCTTATTCTATTCAACAGCGTGTTAATATGTTATTGAGTTATTGTCTTCGAATATGAATAAATGGGAGAAAATGGATTGACATTGGCACAATTTGAGCCATTATCAAAGAGTAATTCTGAACCTTTGAGTATACTATTTTTTTTTGTTTACCTTCACAAAGTACGGATAAAATCCACATATATTAATATTTGATATCATCATATTTTCTTAAATGCCTTTTTAACATGGCCCGCTAGCCGCAGTCTTTTGAATATGTAAAAGATTTACAAAGCAAGAAAAGGAGAAACACAAAAGACCGATAATGATGGAATAATTTGGCAAAAAGCAACCACCTTGAGATTTTCCTTGTCATTTTCCTCATGTGGTGCCCTGAAATATTGTATCGTATTATTATATTAAATACGATGTTTATTTTAATTGTTACTTAAATTTTATTGTGTCGTATCGTTAATCATCGTTACATAACAACAAAATGTGCCACCTATGTTTTTTTCTCTCAATCTCACCCTTCATTATTATTATATAATTTTATATCATTTACCCTACCTTTTAGTATATAATAACTTTACCCTGTGTCATAATTTTTTTTATAATATTGCAAGTCTATTCTTCATATTGTTGGTGTGTGATATCATGAAACGATGGCAAACGACACAATCTATCCAAACATTGTATTTATCAAATGATACAGTGCGATCCGATACATTATGAAATGATATGTAACTATCCAAACAATTTGTAAAACTTTTCTAAGACCTCTTCTTCTTTTTTCCCACATAATATTCTTGTTTTTTTTTAAGCAATAACGGAGTACCATCATAATTAATGAATGTCAAATGGGTCGTAGAAGTCTTCTCCTTGTTTTCAGGTCAAAACCTCTTATCATTAGTGAAGTTTGTGGTTATAAAACTAAATTTAAAGTAAGTTTTGTGTGAACAGATTCTTTTAAAGTAAAGACTACACTAATAGGAAATACAGAATTTTAATTATAAAAGAGACAAAAGAAGGAATTAAGGACCCCATCATTATTCTTTGCAGAATGAGACAACACATAAAGCTACTTTAATACCTAAATGATGTCTTATCCATAATCACTAGGAATCAACCATTAAGCAGCAGAACAAATCATAGTATAACTTTTCAAAGAAACATAATACTCATTTCAGTGATATTATCAGTTTTTATTTTTGTAACATCTTTAGAAAGATATTTAAAAACGTTAATTATAAGAATATTCGTCTAATTAGACTCAACTTTGGCAAGTGTGATGTTTAATTAAGACCTTTTTGACTATGCTTTTGCACAAAGACTCCCAAAGCTCTGTCCTCGTTAGTTGCAAAGTCTGACTTACCCATTCCTGCACAAAGATGTTCTTCATTCCAAAAAGTTAAACTCTCTACCATGATGGATAATTCAAATTTTAAGAAAGTTAATTAGCTCATTGAAACATACTCTCTTTAGAAAGAAAAAAAAAAGCATTAACTTTTCCACATAGTCTTTATGCGATTGAGGAATCAATGAGAATGACTTAGTGGTTAGCGTCTTCTGTCAAATACATAATCAACTAGATAAAGTGTGATTTCTTCGATACTTTAAGCTTTTAGATAAGATGATTACATATGTTAACATAATAGTAGACTAGGAAGTTATGCTACGTTTATTTTTTCATTTTTTTGGGAGAGAAAAAAAAGGAAGTAAAGACTGTATATATCAATTTTGGAGATGTAAGAAATGAACAGAGCTCGATATGAGCTCCAATGGTAGAGATGGAGACTTTGAAAAGAAGCCCTAATCTAGGAGCATGAGTGAGAACCGAAGAAATGAACTTCGGAAATGAAAGTCTCGATTGTATTAACTCTGTAATGTTGTATATATAAAGTTGCAACTAACTAACTAACTAATGGAACTAACCGACTCATCTCTAACATACTAACAGAAAGGTATAAATGACTAAGCTATAAGTGCAACCTCATTTAAATAATCTAATACATCTCAATACCTCCACCCCACCCCCACCCCCACCCCCCACCCACTTTGGAAGTGAGGGTATCACTGCCAACCTACCAAGAATGCTGGAATGCTTAATGCCTATGAGAGCTTTAGTGAGGATATATGCAAGTTGTTGAGTGGTCCCAATATGATGCAAACAGATGAGGCCCTCTTGAAGTTTATTTCTAACAAAGTGACAATCGACTTTAATGTTTTTGGTTCTTTCGTGGAACACTGAGTTCTTTGCTATATGGAGTGCTGACTGGCTATCACAAAACACTAGAATGAGACTGGAGAATGGCACTGTTAACTCCTCAAGTAGCCTTTGCAACCTTACTAACTCCCCAACCACTTTCCTTATGGATCTATATTCTGCTTCTGTTGATGAAAAGGGAATGATTTCCTACTTCTTTGACTTCCAACTGATGGGGTTGTTCTGTAGCAAGACAATACAGCTAGTGACTGACTTCCTAGAATCTCGGCAGGATGGCCCGTCAGAGTCACAGTATGCCTTCATCATGAAGGCATCATCTTTGAAAAAGAAAATTCCCATGCTAGGATCAGTCTTTAAGTATCTTAACAAGTGAAAGGCTTCCTTTAAGTGTAGTTCCCTTGGGTCTTGCATGAATTGGATCTGATGCGGGACACTAAATGCTATATCCAGTCTTGTGTTGGTGAGGAAATTCAATTTTCCAACTAATTTTTTGTAGCAGCTGGGGACTGATAAAGGTGCTCCTTCTTTTGCTTTGAGTTTCACATTTGGATCAAGAGGTGAAGATAAGGGGCTGCAACTGAGACAGTCATACTCTTTCAGTAAATTAATGACAAACTTTCTCTCGGAACTATGACTCCATCATTCTTGTAGAGGATTTCCAATCCAAGGAAGTAGTGTAATCTTCCCAGATCCTTAATCTTGAAACTGTCATGTAGGAACCTCTTCAAAAGGTCTATTTCTTCTAAATCTGTCAGAATCACATCAACAACATACATTGCTACATACACTAAAGATGTCCCATTTTTCTTATAGAACAATGAATAATCATGCATAGAGTGCTCATAACCTCTAGAGCAAAGTGCCTCTATTAACTAGGCATACTATTGTCTACTGGCTTGTTTCAGGCCTTATAGGAATTCGTTTAGCTTACGAATAAGTCCTGGTTCAGACATCATTAGCCCAGGTGGGGCCTCCATAAACACTTCCTCATTCAAATCTCCATGGAGGAAAGCATTGTTGACATCCAATTTAAACATGTCCCACCCTCTTTTCACAACTACTGTTATAAGTCCTGTCACAATGGTCATCTTTACCACTGGTGAGAATGTTGTTGTGTAATATATTCGCTCTTTTTGTGTGTAGCCTTTCACTACCAAACGAGCTTTAAACCTCTCAATACTTCCATCAGCTTTATGTTTTATCTTGTATACCCATTTACAACCAATGGCTTTCTTCCCTGTTGGTAATAGGATCAAGTCCCAGGTGTGATTGGCATGTAAAGCCTCAAATTCCTGTGTCATGGCTTCTGGCCAAGAAGGATTAATAGAAGCTTTTTCATATGAAGAAGGTTCACTATCATGATAGACATTTTGCATCAAAGATTAACTATAATGTATTAAAGCTTCAGTAGAAACAAATTGATGTTTGGAAAGTAATACATTCAGAGATGGTATTAAACTATTGGAATGCAGTTTGGATACAATATGAATATAGTCACTTAGATATGCAGGTGTTTTAATTTATCTTTGTGTTCTTCTAAGTGTAGGGGTGTTGTGAGTTTGAGGTGAGTGGTCTTTTTATTGAAATCTGGTAGTGAATGGTTATTGGATGTAGATGCTAAAGGTGATGCTGGAGGTGAATGATCATTATAGCATGTGACTGGACTATCACTAGGTGACATGAGTGAGGTAGTTACAAGTGACAACTCATTGTTCGTGGGACTTGCACTACCTGGATTGGTTTCATCATTGACTTGGGTGTTATTATTAAGATCATCCATAAAATCAATAAAGGGAACACATTTTAGTACATGAGGAAAAGAAGAAACATCTGGAGTAATTGCAAATGGGAAAACATTCTCATGAAATGATACATCTCTTGAAACATGTATTTTCTTAGTAGCAAGACTCAATACCTTATACCCTTTGTTCTTAAAGGGATAGCCTACAAAGACATGTTGGGTAGCTTTAGGTTCAAATTTGTCCTGTGCACTTTGGGTACTGTTGGGTAGCACAAGCATCCAAAACTCTTCAATTGGGAATAGAGTGATTTTATTTTGTGTTGGAGTACATATGGGCACTGGTTCTTGAGATATGTGATAGGTAATCTATATATAATATAGTTGCTATCAGTATACACTCTCCCGAATATCTCATTAGCAATACTGTGAGGGGCAAGGGTACAAGAGTGGTTGATTCTTCACCCACACATGTTGGTCTAACAAAAGAAGCTGGTGCAATGGTTGTTTGGGGAGAGGAATTTACTGAAATAGAAGAGAGTGTGAGAAAAATAGGGAAAGTGGGTCTGGCGAAGCTGCTGAGGAGTTGGTTCAACTTGAAAAAATATAGATGAACCTGTTCCATCTGAACAGGAAACCCTCGCTGACCTATTGATAGGGTTATCAATGGCACCAAAACTCATGTCATTCCCTATGGTTTCATTCTCACAACTGTGCTTGCATATTTCAAGGTACAAGCACGGATCATTTTTGGGTTAATACTCTGGTTGCTTGCGATTATGAAGTCAATGTCATTCTTAATGATCCTGGTTCATCTAAAAAGACACCTATCAATAGCAAAGTCAGAGTCTTGGTACAGGAGAGTGAGGCAAAGGATATTGAGATAGCAAGGCTGAAGACATGATTGGTTGAGGTAGAATCTGAGA